TGCAGATGTAGGTTTTAAGTTTTTTTTTCATGGTCTCGTCAGTTTTTCGTAGGTCGATGATTGCGCAACGCTGGTCGTCGTGTCTAAGTGTGAGATAACGGGTTCGACACGTAATTAACAGGGGTGTTTTGTTTCTAGACGGTCGCCAGTCGGGTTAAAATAGAACTTGGCTGATACGGATCGAATTTGAGCGCGAAATGGTTATTTTGATAAAGCAGGAAGTCAGGGCGAACTATATGGATGACTGCCTAAAACATCCTAAAGTTTCCGGTAGGCAGATGTTTCGCACAGTGGCACAGTGCCCTTGTACAAACAGTGACCACTTTCTCGATAGCCGCCAGCTCAAATTCAATTCCCGCTAAATTGTATACTCCAGATGAGAGCAAGGTTCGTGAAGGCGCGGTGCAAAGCAACATGAGCAAAGCTCAGAACGGCCGCGAGCAGGTTAACGAGCAAAAGTTTGTCCTACTTCGAGAGTGAATGCAAAACTATACCGTTTATGTTTATCTAGGAACTGGGAACAACGGAAATATTATCCTACAATATTGCGTATCGCACAATTTGAGTAAATGAGCAGATGTTAATATTGTACGATAATGTTATACGGTAGCAATAATATGAAAATATGATTAATTAACTTACAGATTTGACTAAAATATGGTGTATCATCAACATATGCCATGTGATAATAGACGAACAATAAATATATATATATATATATATATCTGAACTGATAGTTTTCTACAACGAAATTTTCGATTAAAACACTATACATTTTTATATCCCTGGTAATCATTCTCGGATTAGCAATTAGCCCTTTGTGGTTGCTTATGGACTATCCCTTACGTATGATCGATAGGCAACCATGGTGTTTGTACGGGCATATAGACTTAACGTAAGTAATTGAAATTGCTCCGTTCCGGTAATGAACAGTGTCTACGATTGAATCGGTCTAGCTGTAAGCATCCGCAGAGTATTTCAACACGGATATAAAGAGGTCGAATCTAGCCAGATAGAACCAATCTACCGTGTGGTAACTGCCACTTATTTTAAAAATCCACTATATTTATTTGCTAGCCGTGCTGAAGATAAGGTCTTCAACGCGCACGTCGCTGGATGCTGGTTAATGCATTTATACCCCTGTAATAATAAAGCAACCCCGTATCATAGGCTTTGCCCTTCTTTATATCGATATTCTGCTGCCATACATACTGCTCCTTCAATCTAATCAACAACATTTAGGCGCCTTAGATCGAACCCCCGGGCTATTCCCTCCCATCGTTTGGTCGTTATCTTTAAGATCAACCCAATTTACATTCGGAATCACACATAGAATAGCAAGCAGCCATATATCTCAACTAGTTATTATTGTACTTGCCAAAAGTCGAATTCTATTTACTTACAAAGTGTACGCAACTATACAATGTACGGCAATGTTGCTTTCACTATACATGTCGTTCTTTTAGATAATACTGTAGTCTTCCATAGTCGCGTATCAGGCGTACAACATTTCACGCCGACGACGGTGAGATCGTATCGTATCGTATTATTTACCGTACAGGCAATTAGAAAGTGGTCATATAGTCATAAGGTATTTGATTTTAGCAAGCTTTAGTGATCCATTTGTACGTATTGGCCAATGGTCCAGAGGTGTTTTCCCACTAACGTCTGATTTGTAGGGATAATGAGCCGAAAGCCAATACGCAATCGTTCCTGAGAATTTCTTGTGCGCTCGGACATCTGCATCAGCGAAGAAATAAGTCCCTTAATTTTTAGTAAATTGCAACGTCAAGGGTCTAGCGACGATCCAGCTCACGGGTGCTGGTGTACGTCTGTTGTTCGCCGGTGTTCGTTTGAATGACGTACGTTCTTGGTTGCCGTTGTGTACACAGCGCATAGTGTCTCCAACGGTCCGCATAGCCATAGCAGAATTTAAGGGCTTGTCCCAGTTGCTCCCACCGTCTTCCCGTTTGATACCTCATGTCTCATCCCTGTTGCCAGCCTCGAGTCGTTGCCCCATTGGCTAATGTATATCCCAGCGTCGGTGTTGATATAATATTCATCAGGTGAGAGATTACACTCTTCTGCTTGTCGCCGCTTCGCTAGAAATTGATGTATACACAGGCATCCGTATAACAGTGGCACAAAATATTTTTTCCTTATTGGCCTATTGCTTCTTAAACGAACTGTCTGGCTTTTCATTCAAAGAACAACTAAATTTCTGAAACCATTAGGTAGACTGTAAATGATGAAGGATCACGGCAGGCATATCAATAATGGCTAAATAGTTATAAAACAAACTTCAGTGCAACGCTCCGAGGAAAATAGGATCTATGACACGATCATTGTTGGCACATGTTGACGACGACGACGACTGCTCTATTCTTTATAAAAGATTTAACGAAAATTTCTTAGCTTTCTATTGATTAATATTACGACCTTGTAATGTTTAACAAATTACATATGTTTGTTTTGTCGCCTCATATCTGTCACTAAAACTTCTGTAGATATAGGACTAAGAGGAAACTGCAAGAGAAGCCCATACGTCCGACATGTACGCAGATATTGTAACAGCTCTATTTTAACAAGGTTCTTTATCATTGTTTTATTCATAGCTATATACCAACTCGTCTGTGGTTTGTTGGCTCTTTCAAGCATGGGAAACAAAAACCTCGTACAAATGTAACATAGCCCCTTTTACTATTTTGATTTATGACAAATTGCACGAATGGATCCCATACGTCAAGCACTTGCTTCGGTAGCTGTTGAAGTTTGGTTCCTCGGTATTCGTCACTGTGAAACTGTAATCATATTCCACAGATACAGCCCGCTTACGAGCGTACGCGCTTCGGAGTATTCCTATATTTGAATTCGCCCATTTTCCAGTTTTACAATATAAGATCAAAATTTCGCTATGATCTACTTTTTGGCACTATCTGTCGCTGTAGCATGTGAATGCGCAAATTGTAACCGTACAAATGCATACACAAGATATAAAAAACTAAATCGGATACTAATTCCTACAAATTTGCCCCAGCAGGTCATACGAAACGTCGTATAAAGATCTTTTCAATATATGTGTATATACGGACCCCTACGATCTCACATGGATGCAGGGACGGTTCGAGACAATGCTTCAAAGATAGACAACAACAGTTTAATCTGCCTATCTGATAAACAGGCTGCATGCACAATAGAGATAGGGATATCACTGGGGAAGTATAAATGTCAGAGTTAGATAAAATTACTATTTTGGTTGAAGTCAGCATAGGGATAGATGGGAGATGGGTTGGACCTGTTCTCGCTAAGTACAGAGTGAGCTGATGAACCATTCTCAAATGAGAAAGCGTTAGTAAATCCAAAAGTTAGAAAAATAGGCCTATGCAGAAGGGTAAAATCCGAATAACTTTCCGCTGCGTTCTAAACGGCTAAAATTGTCCTTGTGGTGAATTAAAAGGGCATGTTTGAAGCGATTTTTTTTTTCTGTTTCTGAATTTAGTTTGCGTTAAGTTTTCGTCAATTTCTTCGATTCCCGTTATACTTTATATTGATTTCAAAGCATTGATTGTAGGCTGTGTCTAACATTACACGATGAAACATCTATGATTGGAATAAATAACTGCGCGTTCTAGCCTAGTATATGAAATAAATTTAAATACTAAATCACAGAGTTTCTCAGACAACGATAAAGATTCTGAACAGCGTGTGATCTTCTGTTAGTAGATGACTTTGATGATTTGCAAAAATGCAATAAAAAAAAATCGGAGATATTTGTTTAATTTATTTGTTGCAACGGCATAGGTGGCTTAGTTTCAGGCTTTTTAAAGCCTAAGGCCGCTGTTTGAAATTTCGCGCTGGCACCTATCGCGCACCTCTACAGAACGTCCCTAGCGAGTTTTGAGCTCATAGGCTTGGAACGGACAAAAAAAATTGGTCAATGAAAATTAAGACAAGGCCAGGTCTTTTGTATTTCGAAACAAAACTCCTTCGTGTAATTTCGTGATTTTCAAAAGAAGACAGAAATTACATACAAGGATTGTAAGACCCGTTGCAACAAGCGTTGCATACCACACAAAGGGTCGTTCACGTCTTCGGTCATTCTGGCTTTAAATTAAAAGGTCAGAAAACTATTATCATATTCAGTCGACGGATATCAGGTTTGTACCTCTATAAGACATACAGTTTCCTATGGCACTGCAGGGATCCGTGTAAACATTGCTGACAATGTAAGGTTATTCCACCGATGCCTCGCCTTTTTTGTTCATCATTACAACCTTATTCAGAGGTGGTAAATCAACTGTGGTACCGCAACACGGATGCGTTTCTTGCATCTCCTTGGAAAATATTTCAAGGCCGTTCGTGGCTGTTGAAGGGAGTACAAGCAACGCACCTAGTGCATATTTACTACAAATGATTGCCGATATTGTCTTCTTCTTTACATTACGGATGCCGAAATGTGGAGCTTCTATGAGAGTTGTGCGTATCTATAGGCGGACACGTACAATTGGCAATGATTCTAATAGCGGCCGTAGCAGTGAAAATAGGCTTTCGGCAAGCGTCAGAATAGGGACAGCTGAAAGTGCCTCGTTTTTAGACGAATCGTTAACACATAAATGGACAGGTGATCGCTGATAAACTTAATATATGATATTAAATAAAATATGTGATATTTGCTTGTTCGATAATTGGTCCGCTAACGTTTTGCAATCTCTCTATTAATTGTATTACGGCCACATTTTCTTGGCGCAAATCAACCGGAAAGCTACTTCATTTTATTACAGGAAGACACTAACGCATGTGTTTCTAATGTATAGCTAATTGAATCAAGTTCGTTTTACTTACCGGAGCCGGAGCTTTATGCAAGCGCTGAAGTTACCTACGACATGTTGGCGCATCCTTAACTCTATGCTTATTTCCAATTAGAACAATTAGCAGAATGTCTATGATCCCAAGAAAACGAATACCAGATTCTCGGTAGGGTCCCACGTTAAGCACTTTTAGTTACAAAGCACAATAGACATGCTTGTGCCTATCTTAAAACTACAATATTACAGTGGTAGTCAACACGCGTTTAAAAAGGCTAATGGTAATTCGGCGGTTACCGTTTGAGCAGGGCGATTTCGCCGAAAGCCTTCCGCGATTATGCCCCCTTCGGCAGTACTTTTCCATTCAGTCGAATAGGACCATTCAAACGATAGCGGATAGGATGAACGAATTCCCTTAGTCGGACATACGTGCCTATGCAACTTGACGATCTACGTGCGTCGAAGCATAGCAATTATGTTTCGTGTATACTTTGTTATTAGCGTTTGTTTATTTCCGCTCCTACATTAACTGGTACGTATATACACTTCAAAGCATTTTAGGCCTATAGTCAACTATACTAGTTATATTCTATCTATCTATATAATACGCTTCACACATGTAAACAATTTATAATAATTATCTTTGTTATATGTTTATGTTATACATATGAAGTTTCGGTTGGATAATAGGACTATTTTGGCATGACGCGCAATCTGGACTACAGTTCGAACGTATGAGCCTCGGATTACTTCGTCAGCAGATCGACTAACTTACTTTAGCGGACTGATCGACGGACGATGTACATCCTGAATAACTTCGAGATCTAACTACTTTCCTGGGTTCTGCGGCACTTTTATTAATAGTCGTGAATTTGAACGTGAGTTGAACTTAATGTCGTTTGTAAATCTATTGTGAGTATAATGATCAAGCGAATATAAACAGAACGAGTATATTAATACGTTAACACTGCCGTTGAACGTCACGTCGCAAGGATTGCCGTGAAAAATATGTATCGACTCTATGCAATGATCGCAATATAGGATTTTAACGACGCACCTGGATCTAAGTATACACATAGCAGATCAGATTGAAAGTTTCCGAAAGTCGCGGGTTTCTGTCTGTCTACACCTATCTTTTAGCGGAGAAGTTTATCCATAATGTCATTCCAACTTCTACGTTATGCTTAGATGCGTAGCAACACGTAACTCACTGCCATGACGCGACGAATGGTGGAAGCTTTGATGATGCAAATTCTATCGCTAACCTGTTTTTTCTTTTCAGTTTCTCAAAGAAAACCTCCAAAACGTTTTACATTTTCCTATTTAAGGACACTCATTCAGTTGTCGCGACTGCAACGTAAGAAAACGCTTTGTAAGATGTAGGTGCCGATTGTGCCTCGTATTGCATTAGCACATCTAACATGATTTTGTTAATTCGAAAATGAAAATGTCCGTCCGTGAGGTGTTGCATTAGAAGAAGGGATTTTTTTGTTTTTGACAAAAGTGTTGTATTCGCTGAAAAGAAAATAATTTTTCTAAATTACACAACGAGCTCGAAAAAGCCCCGTTGGCTACTTGATTGATTCTCAACTTGGATTTTTTTCTTGCAGTGACTTTAATAAATATATCTGCAAGTGACATTACAGGCTGAGACAATAACAATGCGGTTAGTTTACTGTAGTTTGTGCACCTCGTACCAGAATGGTTGTGATCAGACTGGCAGGCTGTGCTCGAAGGCAAAATCATACCGCGTTCTAATACCGTAGCTATTAGAGTGACGTACATTTGGACCTCCTCATTGTACTTGAACCTGAACATACTGTGAGCTTGTCACACCATCTTACTAAATAACTATCACACGTGCATGATTTCTCTATTTAAATATCAAAAAAATTTCACGTTGCACTCTAGAACCATTGCAGTCATCTTAAAACAACCTATTCTTGTCAATCTGTGTATTTTAGCTATTCCAAAGCTGGCATAGTACGTATCAGCTGTTTGTACGATGCCGCTTTTTTTCGCTCCCTGACGTTTTGTTGTTTAGTCTTATGCCCGGACTACGTCATTCCTTATAACAGGTTTAATAACGGTATAATCTTCCCCTAAGCAGGTGGCGGTCAGCCAATGATGTGTTATATAAGATTATTGTAAAAGTTCTAGGCGCCTTCTCTAGCCGGCTTGTCAGCGAAGCGTCGCTCGGTAAGCTCACATTGATCCACAGGGCCCCTTATAATTTACAAGGTATTCACGCAGGTCACTGTATAGGTCGCCCGATTGTACACGTGACTATGCTGGACGGAGCAGGAACAAAACACTTCAGTCACCCGACGCTCTACCCGTCACCCGACCGTACCTACTCAATAACTGTATAGAAACTGTCTAGAAAGATTGTATTCCTACTTCCGATTGGCAGACAAGACATTTTAATAAAATAAAAATTTCGAACGCGACATGAATCTTCGACGTTATCATTGGCCAACCTGAAAGATTCACAACGAAGCGCGGAATTACTGTTAAGCGAAAGAGCCGAAAATCGATAAGGACAGTTGTAACCGATGATGCAGCCGAACTTTATCCCATTTTTCCATTAATTTTGACCCAACACGAACTTTGGAACCATAGATGATGAAAGGAATACCTTTTAGAACACTACGTTTATTTACGTTTATACGTTTATATAACTGTTTATTTATCATAACGGAGCATGCGCTACAATAGTCGCCTTCGTGCAAACGTAATAGTGAGTAAAGAGTGTTACACTGTATTGGAAGAGAAAAAAAAAAGTCTCTTATGTCATTACAGTTTAGCTACATGGCTAATTGTTCCGCGTGTTTCTTTCCAGTGAAAGCCAACAGGAGGCTATGTTGAAATAATTAAGCGACAAAAAAATTTTAGTGGACACATTTGCACACGTGCTATTTGATAATGGTCAACGGCTGATATGATCAGTTCTCGGTTCATAATAATTGTTAATTGCCTATTTCTACTAAAAGGCATCTAACTTCAATGGTGCAGCCTTCACTACAGAGACCGAAAGTTTAGTCGCTGACCATAGTCGTAACTTCAGGGAAAACATAAAATCATCTACGATGTTTCAGTTAAACGGCCCTATAGTGCAACTCGTTTTGATTTCACCAGATATAAACCTTTATAACCGGTCCCACTTACAGCTCTTTAAATGCAACGGTAATAATTAGAATCTTTTTAATACTTGACCTTGCTCTTGCAACATCACGAAGTTGGTTAGTGTCAGATGTCCATTTTTGTGTTGAAATTATTTGTATCTCCTTTAAGTCACTGAATAAGGCATCTCCTTTACCTTAACACCACCTATTGCTGCGCCCTAGCTTCTGTGGCACGAACCTAGCGCACGAATGTGGTACGAGGATAATTACCCTGTCAACAATGGCTGCAAGAGACCACAACTAGATAGAGTCACATGAATCTATTTTTCAAATTGTATGCGTTCAGCAACGTAGATAAGGCGGTCATGGCAGTTAGCACATTATTTCATCTCTGTAATAGTAGAACAGACGTTTTCTTAGTGTTACGCAGCTTGCCTTGTAGGCACCTATATGAAGGAGTCGAACGAGATTATATCATGTGGTTCATTTGACGCCACTCCTTCTGGAAATCAGTTGCTGACCAAAGTAAAGAGATTGACCTATTAGTTACATGGAGGCGGTGCACGATCGTGCTGAAAGCGAATGTCCTATGAATATTTTTCATCGATTTGGAAAAAGATAGTACTTATTGTGCAAAAGGCTACTGCTACCATTACTATGTCTGCAGTTGTTTATAATTCAATAGGCCGTTCTCGGCCGAGAACACTACGATAGCAACGACGCTAAAATATCCATCCCTATATCTGCTATTCTATCCAGTTGCAGCCGTTGTTTCTGCTCAACGTCGAGTGCATTGTTAACGAAACCATCCGACGGTCAGACAGGAGTAGGCATAAGGTACGATTGCTGATTCTCCTTGTATTTCGGCTGCTACCGCTGCTGTTGCTTGTGCATCGGGGTCTCGACGGTCCGCGAGCAGCTGGAAGGTTAAAGGAGCTATACGGAGTATAAGCAGGAATAATGGGTAATGATGCCAACAAGCTGGTGGCTCAAGGAGCGGCCGGGAGACTTAGTAACGCCATCAAAAGCTGAGCTCCGGTCTGTTGCTATCCTAGTTTTTGCTGGACTTTCCCGTGTAGCGGCCGAATGCTGTAAGCAGATAACTTTTTGCTTTCTGGTTTAATGCCAAACAGGTGGACTCCCTCGTATATATTTTCTCCTCAGTGGCCGCTGCCTGCTAAATTTGCTGTTCGGTATTGACGACGTACACACGTACATACACGCACGCTCCCGCTTTGTGCTCTCACACGAGCAAATATTGTTGGACATCCGGCTCACCAGACGGACAGATGAGCCGGGCTTGCAGGTCGTCCTACTGCCTTCTGCTGCCACCGCCGTTAGTACAACAACCATAACAATACGACCGCAGTGATTCTCGAACGTTAGCTGTACCAAAACAGAACGTCGCTTTGGGCACTGCTGTCGCGTGAAAGGACATATTGAGAGGTCATATTGACTATCGATGTTGCTCAGTAGAACGGCAAAGCCAGTTGAAGGGGAGGTTATGAAGAAAAATGGCATAGAAAGGTAAACGAAGAGGCTACAGAAAGGAGATTCAGGCAACGGAGGCAGGAGGCGGGCAAAACAGGTTCAGTAGATGGAACATTCATAACGTTAGGTTGGCTCGATGAGTAAATCAGCAAGCGTCGCTGCATCTATTGCTTCTTTTTACCGCTAACAGCGAGCTCCTGGCAAATGCTTGCAAACGCAATACCGACGCAACGCCAATTGGACAAGGTCAGAGGGCAAGGACACGCATGAAGGAGCCGAGAAGAAAAGGAGCTCCGTCGCCGTAGGTCAAATGTCGGAGGAAAAAGGTGGAGCCATTGTCGATAGCTACGACGAACATCTTGTGGAACCTAGGAGGTAAGCGAGGTGGTAGCCGGGCCCGCGTAAACGATGTAAGCTGGTGGTTAACTGCATATGTCGATGGACGGGAAGTAGTGATGGCGAGACGATGCGTGACTGACGCAAGTGCTTGCGTTCTACATAGGACCAATCGAAGGAGCACTCGAGCAACCTGTACTGCCACTATAACTAGCACGGCCGGCACCGCCACAGCCGAACGCCACAATAAGAGCAGAAAACGAAAGACAGATTGAGGGAACGGGAATGAACGTTGTTTCTTCAACAAGCAGTGCACAAGCTCAATCACAGTAGTTGCAAACAACTACAACGCCTCCGAATGTCTATTCATCATAAATGAATGCTTTTCTGTGGGACACAAGGTTCAAAAGCAGACATTGCTGGCATCAACTTACTCGAAACGATCGCATGGCAAAAGCACTTGTTAAATGCACTAATGTACCGGTTCACATGAATCATAGAATATCCGGGAAGAGCAACTAGAAATCATTGGTACCCAATCGCCTAAGGATCCTATTATCTACCGCTTCCTGCCTTAGCATTAGTTTTTGTTTAGCGGACTTCGCCTATTCTCGTGGACCCATAGGTACTACTATACCGATATATGTAAACTGAAAGCAAATCAACAATAAGATTTTCGGGTATTACTCTGCGAGCGCGGTTCAAGCATAAGGAAAGCTAATCCTTCTCAGCAAAGTTCGATGAACTTTTGCCACCACACAAAATTATAGACAGACCAATTATGGATAAGAGGCCCCTTTTTAAGGCGCGGCCCAATATGGCGAAGGAAGCGCAAAAAATGCAACGCTTTATTTTTTCGCACTGACAAAAAATAAAAGCTATTTCTACAATTCCTATGGCGGTTACAGGCAGATTTCTCTTGGTATCAATCGAATTTTTTTCACCGATTCATCTCGTCATCCTTTTTATATCTGACGCAGAAACGCTTGCTTTAACGTCATTATAACTTAAACATGCGAACGTCTGCTTTGACTGATGCAACTGTGGCGACATGACAGGTTAAATTGATTGATATCTATTCTAAAGAATACTATATTTAATTATACGGCTCGTTTTGAGTGCCCTATCAGTGTTCTAACGTTCGGCCAGACTACATGAATGCCCCTTAGGACTACAAGACGTCATCTTCTGTCGTACGTCAAGCCAAATATAATCGGATTACACGGGAGAACGCATAATCTCTATTTCAATTGCATCTGTTTAAAAACATCGTGATTAGTGATCTGTAGTGATCTGGCTAGGATTCTACACTCAAAATAGCAAGGTACAATTAAACCCATACTAAGACGGGTTTCACTGGCTAGCTAACACAACGTCCTATACACATATACTTGATCAGACGTGATATACTGTCGATGTTGAAACTGTAGACTTGCTTGGTAGTTTGTTCTCATTCCAAGACTAACTAGTAAGGATAATAAGAGACAAAGAAAAAATAGCATAACTTTTTTCACGGATTGCACGGATATACTATGCAATCTGCGTCACTACACTTCATTAGCTGGCAGAACATGTGATCCGGCGAAGGGCAAAGCATTTTTGTATTCAGTTACTTACTTTATAATCAACAGAGTGCGAAAACGATTCCGGTGT